GGGTTATGGTATGGGCAGGCGTATGTTATGGATAACGTACACAGGTGCATTTTATTGATGGCATTTTGAATGCACAGAGATACTGTGACGAGATCCTGAGGCCCATTGTTGTGCCATTCATCCACGACCATCACCTCATGTTGCAGCATGATAATGCAAGACCCCATGTTTCAAGGATCTGTACACAATTCCTGGAAGCTGAAAACGTCCCAGTTCTTGCATAGCCAGCATACTCACCGGACATGTCACCCATTGAGCATGTTTGGGATGCTCTGGATCGGCGTATACGACAGCGTGTTCCAGTTCCTGCCAATATCCAGCAACTTCGCACAGCCATTGAAGAGGAGTGGACCAAGACCAGACGTGTCACGTTCAATTCAAGAAGCGGTCTAAAACTGTTTATTTACTGTTTATTATATCACCAAACGGACATAAGTTTGCTTCAAGAATGAACAATGTGGCATACATGAGTTTGAAGTTTAAAAGTACAGAGCAAAAAAAGAGAGCAAAGGGAAAGAGAAAAACAGAGCAAAGGGAAAGAGAAAGTGCGATCTGTATTACAGCTCTCTATATGATGCATACAGACTGTATTAGAGTGACAGAAAGAGCACAATACATAATTTATAGCCTAGGGTGAAGTCATTATGTACATTAACAATGATTTCGGACAAATATAATGTAATTTAATGGAAAACTATGTAAATGGCGCTCTGTTTTCGCAGCAGGATTTTCTGTCGGCTGCATCTAAATGCGCGTTTGAAGTTTCCCGCTCTGTGCAGCGTGCAGTGTCACATGGCAAAACAAACAACACGTACTGTTAGTGATTTCCGCCACTAGAGGCCGCTCTTGTTTTGTATAATGGCAGCAGACCCTTCTCAGCCACTCCAGCAACGGACGCAACCCGGAAAACTATCGGCATGGATTTTTGCCGATAACCGATAGTTATGCCAATCAACTATCAGTGCCGATTAATAGGCAGAACCGATGAATCGGTCGACCTCTAGTATTTCACCATTCATGGCTAATAAAGCAACAAAATACTCATGCGCTCTATGAGCAGCAGATTCATGTGCATTGTTGTGTGCATTTAAATGGCTTAAAATATCGTTTTTAAACTGCAATGCTTAAAACTGTGTGCAAACGATACATTTTCATAACCACAGTGCACCGCAACTTGACTTGAGTGCATTACTGTGATAAAGACGTTTTTGCTGCAAGAAACCTTGAAAAGCATCAACTTACTATTAAGTTCAGGGCCTGGAGATATGACCAACATCTTATGTTTATTTTGTTGTAAAACTGTTTAATATGTTATGCAACTATTTAGTAATCCCTTTTTTTGTTATTGAATCCAGTAAACTAAACTCAAATTAAATATATATTATTTAAAAAAAATTAATTATAACAAGCGAATCAGTACAGCTGCTTCATGTATCTCTTTTTTATTTTAATTACTTTTTATTGCATTTTAACAATACACATGTACAAATAAATGTCCATGTAACAGAGAAAACACACACAAAAAAAGCTTCTCAGTATTTTACATTAGTATATAATATCACCTCTTTTTTTTGTCTTCTATCAACACATTTCCAACTCCACCTCATTTTAAAAACAATATGAAAGGTCCCCAAACTCCATCAAAAAGTATGTATTTATCTCTTAATATGTAAGTTATCTTTTCCACTGTCACATTTGTTACCATTTCTTTCAACCATCGTCCAATATTTGGTGCATATATACTTTTCCAATTTAAAGAAATAAGCCATTTCGCTTGAAGAATTCATATATTTATAAATATATACTCCCAGTCTTTTTTAACTTAATCTCCTTAGGATATAAATGAAATAAAAAGATTAAAGGTGCAAGTGGTATGTTAACATCAATGATCTTTTCTATCATTCCTTTCACATTTTTCCAAAAATTCCTAACTTCTTCACACTCCCATATACAGTGATATAGTGTTCCTTTAAAGTCGCTGCATCTTAAGCAAGTGTCTGGGATATTTTCATTATATTTATGCAATACAGCTGGAGTTATATAAATCCTCATCAACCACTTATATTGTAACAGTTTCAGTCATTTGTTCATTGTTAATGATTGAGCTTCCTTGCATGCTTCCATCCAGTCCTCCATCTGAATATAGTATTTAAGATCCGATCTCCAAGCTTCCAATTTATAGTTTGAAGAGTCCTTTGATCCTGACACCAACATATTATATAATGAAGAAATTAAACCTCTACTAAAACAGTTTCTTGTCACTTCTTTTTCCAAAATAGACAATGATGGCATATCGAGGGAATTATTTTTTGATTTGAGGATAAAATTCCTTATTTGTAAATACTTAAACTACTTTGTAGGAATATTGTATGTATTGACTATTTCCTCAAATGACATAAGAGTATTGTTAACATATAGATATGATATCTTTCGAATGCCCTTGTCAGCCCAAATCTTGAAACCTGCGTCTAATCTGCCTGGTTTCAATTTTAAATTGCCCCAAATGGGACTAAAACAAGATAAAGGGTAGAAGACACCTAAATATTTTTTTCACATCAAACCATACGGCAATCATATTTATAACTATAGGATTGGAAACCTTTTTTTTTTAAGATCTTTCAATTCTGATGAATATAAACACAAATGTAAAGGCAGGCCAGAATTAATGGCAGCCAATTCAATATCCACCCAAGACGGGCAGTTCTGAGATAAAAAGTTGTAAGTTCTAAGTTGCACAGCCCAATAATACCAATTAAAATTAGGACACTGTAGACCTCCTCTATCATATGGCAAATATAGAAGTGTCAGACGGAGTCTGGAACATCTGTTATTCCAAATGAATTTAGTGAACATTTTTTCAAGTCGTTGAAATAGATGTTTAGGGGGAGGCAGAGGAATGTTCTGGAATAAATATAAAACTTTTGGCAAAATATTCATTTTCAAAATATGTATTCGACCAATTAAAGATATGGGTAAGGACATCCATCTTTCAAGAAGGGGATCATAATTTACTTGCACAACATATTCTAGTTTTGGTACAATTTTTATACCCAACTATGTAAAACGGTCAACTATATTGAAGGTTGCAACACAATTACTAGGTTGCTGTCTGTCAATCTCATTTAGATATAGAATAGAACTTTTAGAATTGTTAATTTTGTATCCAGAAATTTTTCCAAATGTACTGATACGATCTAATAAAGCAGGTATTGATGTATCAAGATGCTTTAGGAAAAGAATGACTGCTTCGTGTATCTCTTGACATAAAAACAAAATACTATATAAATACATACATATATAAATATGTATGGATATAATTGGATGAGCCATGCTTGAAACTGTTGTGAAATAGATGCCCTATGAACACTGTGCATCAGTTAAATTGCGGTTTAATTACAGTTATGAAAAAAGAACAACGCTATCTGTGGTATATTGTATAATATATAATATAGTATCAGCTTGCAAACATATACATTTTTTAAAGGCTCCTACATATGCCATCATGCCACCTGTAGCCAAGACTCTCTGCTTTCATTGTATATATATAAAAAAAAAATAATATATATATATATGTTGTACTTTCTCCTAAACAACTCCTGTGGTTTTCCACCAAAAAAAGTTGTGTAAGTGATTGTGGAATTTTTATTTTTGTGTGAACTGTCCAGTGAGCAGTGCTTATAGAGGGACAGTTTAGTGCAGTATTCAGGTAGAAGGAGAGAAGGACGTGTTGTGAAAGACAGATGAATAGGGGGAGCAGATGGGTTTGCCGTGGGTGAGCCTTTAGAAGAGATAAAGCAGAGATCATTCAGACAATCAGCCCATGCCCCAATGCAATCATCCCATCTCATCTGCTTTCAAGAGCTATTGGGCTTTTTATTGAGCTGTTGTGCTGCAGACAGAGGCAGTCTGATAACACTTTAGCCCTCTGATAGGGTTAATATTAAACCCTAGCCTTTACTACGCCGGCGGCACTTAGTCTTACAAGACATGAGCTGAAATAGTTTTGTGTAGATGAATGGACCAAAATACCTTTAGATGCCGAGCTGCTCTCATCAGCAACGAGAGACCAACTTCCACCAAGTCCCACAAGTTAATGATTTCAAGGGTTGACCTGCAATTTCATTTCATCTAGTCATTTACTGTCAGACTGGATGACGGTATTATTTGTGCAGTCACGGCTGAGTGAGTTTTTATGGCACAATTTTCAGTTTATATTTAGCTTTTCAAGCTTTTTGATGTCACAGACCCCCAAATAGCATGATCCCGTTACAAAGGACCTGCTTCTTAAAATATAAAAGTAGCTCTATAATTTCATTATTAAAGACCCATTTATGTAGTGAGAAATAAATGTTTAAAATATCATCCCCAAAATATTTACTTTCTGTTAAGTTCAACAGAATAAAATAATTGTGATTGAATCTCATGATTTCTGACCTTTACTCTGCAGATTTTATTTTTGATTTGATTTGATTTTTTATAAAATAAATTCATCCATCCATCCATCCATCGATCATCCATCCATTCTATCTTTCTGATTATTGTAGTCCTAATTTACGGAATTTTCAGTGGTTTTTCAACAAATTTCTAGATTTGCACATTTTTTCTATTGTTTTTGCAGTTGAGATCCACCATTAATCAATAAGAAATTTTATTAGTGTTAGTGACAATAGGAATAATTTTGAAAAAAAAAACTGAATATTTAGAAACAACAATGCTGCAGCATGCTGTATATTTATTTTGTATACTGTATCACTGTATATTTGATCTCATATAACTATTATTTGCTATTGTTATTACAACATTATTGTCCTGTTGTTATTTTTATTTTTTGTTGCAACTGTAGGAAAGATTAAAGGGATGAGAGATGAATCCACCAAGCCCACATACGGCTGCCAGGTGATCATCCAGTCCGAACAGGAGAAGCAGATGATGAAGATTTACAGAAAATAAGAGAAGAAGGAGAGGAAACGTGAGAAACGAGGAGATGAAGGGGATACCTATGAAAACGCTTTTCATTTTGACCCCAATGAGCTGAGACTGCAGAGGTGAGCACCTGTCTCTCTCTGTCTGTCTGTCTGTCTGTCTTTCTCTTTCATTACGTGAACAAGCACCTCTCTACATATCAGAGTGTGGCCTATTGAAAAGAGAAAGAGAGAGAAAGCTTGATAAAACTGCTATCTGGAGCTTTTGCAGAAGGGATTTTCTCTTAATGTTTAATTTCACAGGATGAAAAAGAGCAATGATCTGTTTAATTAAAAATGCTGCCGTCCAAATGAGGCAGAGCATGAGGAGAGATTAGAGATGAGGTGTTAATACCTCACACGTCTCCTTGCGCTCTCAATCATCCCGCTGCAAGACAACAACCAAACAAAAATAACTCTGAAAATCACAGCTTTAAATGGGATTCGTGAGAAACCCTCATCGGTCGTACCTGAGACAGCTAAATGTGCCACACAGATGTCTCTTTTGTTGGATTTGATGCATTTTATTGGACTAATAAGATCTTTGAGTATTAACAAATGTTGTTGTCAGGCTACATTAATAAATATGGATGTATGTGGGCCTGTTATGCCTTCGGAAAGATAAAAGTTCTGTGTGCTCAAGATTTTTGATATTACAAAGTGCTTTCTAGAAAGAGAATTTATTGTTGATGTTTCCACAAATATCCAGTGTGTAATTATCATTTTATTTGGAAACAAAATCATGTTAACAGATTTGACATTTTGAAATTGCATTCACTTGGTGACACAAATGAGTTGTCTTTAAAAGGATAAAGTAAAAAAAAATAAAAGTAAAATGTTAAAACCATGTATCTTTATATTAGTGCTGTCAATCGATTAAAAAATTAACTAACCGCCATTAATTACATCCATTTTTATACTTTTGCTTTAAGTGAACTTAAAATAGTCTTCACATTAATAGCAAATTGTAAATGCATAAATTATAAATTGAATATAGATTAACAGTTATTCAAGCTACAAAAGTTAATCAGCGAGCAGAGCAGTGAGTGATTTCTCTTCCTTTTGTTCTTTGATTTACGTCAATGACAGACTGCAGCAGGTTTCATTTTAAAGGGGTCATATGATGTTGCTAAAAAGAACATTATTTTGTGTATTTGGTGTAATGAAATGTGTTTATGTGGTTTAAGGTTCAAAAAACACATCATTTTCCACATACTGTACATTATTGTTGCTCCTCTATGCCCCGCCTTTCTGAAACACGTCGATTTTTACAAAGCTCATCGGTCTGAAAAGAGAAATGTGCTCTGATTGGCCAGCGATCCAGTGCGTTGTGATTGGCCGAATACCTCAAGCGTGTGATGGAAATGTTAAGCCCCTTACCATACTATGATGCTGTGTCCCGGAGCGACGAGACAAAAACATTAAAACTAGGGCTGGGCAAGTTAACGCGTTATTGGCACGTTAGCCCATTAATTGATTAACGCCGACAATTATTTAATCGCACGTTAACGCAGTTTTTTATTATTGTTAAAGTCCGTTGCTCACTGGCTCTGAATACACATACAGACAAACCATGGGTCACAGGAGGGGTGGGATGTTGATCAGTACTGGCTTGGGATGGGTGTCATCATGCGTCTCAAGATACCAATGAGAGCATTTGGGAAGGGCCAAGACTGCAGCAGCGCAGCTCCCACATGAAGCGCTCACGACTTCATAAAGCGGGAAATAGGAAGTTTCCGATAGCACGTGAAGACAGCAGAGAAGCGCTCTCGCTCAACACAGTGGAGTGCATCGTTTTGTTAACTTTGTGGTTTATTATTTTGAGTCGTTTGGGACACGGTAACACATGGCCCTCTCACAATATGTTGCTTTACATATCTATCACTTTTGCTGCTCAGAAATGTTCATGCAATCGTGCTGTACATATCAGAAGTTCTACGCTCTGACACTACATGCGTACCTAACTGAACTGCGTTCTGGCCCACCTCTTCCAACCGAGCCAGGGACGGCTAAACGAGCCGCGGCACGGAGCGATCACACTAGTCAAACGAATCTGGCTTTGGAGGTCAGACGCGCTTGAGCACGGTTAAGATCGCCTAGTGTGAGTCCACCCTAATTATTCTCCCGCATCCCGCACACACGAGTCTCTACCCGCCCACACCCACCCATCAAGTGTTGTCCCGCGCCGCACTCTGCTGCGTTGGGTCCCGCGATAGTGCAGGACTCTACTCAGAATGTGCCTGTTATAATGTTATGATCGAGGCTCTGGACTCTGTTTTTAGCAAACTACATAACAAACTATAAAATATTTTCTATAAAAACGTTAATGCCCTGACAGTGGCAAATAGCTTTGGTTTTATATTTAATTTGAGTACATTAATTTTATAAGTTGAGATTTACAATAAATAATTTAACTGCTACTATGTAAAAGGAATACTGTTGTAAAAAAAGCACCTAATTTGTTTAAAGTGTTTGCAAACCAAATATCATTGCACTTTTGTTCATATAGCAGTAGTTTTAAATGAAAAAAGTGCACAATACACTACTTTTGAATTAATTATTGAATTGTGTGCATAACAATGTGATTAATCGCAGAAAATCATGCGATTAATCGCGATTAAAAAGTTTAATCGTTGCCCAGCACTAACTAAAACCCATTACAAACAAGGCATTTGTTGCATCCAGTGGGGACATAATTACGGATTATAATGACTTATACTGTCTTTTTACGTGTTGTATCGTGCCGCGTAAACATAAAACCATGTCTGCATTTGTGATTGGAGAAATGACAAACAGCAAGCGCTACTCTACACTGCTCAAAACTCGTGATTGAATCGTCAGTGGCAAATTCTTTAAATATAAAAACGTAGTTACAGTCTGTGAGTCAAAACAGCCGGCATTGTAGTCTACTCTACCAGGATCAGGAAACAGTCCTCCATAAAATGTGCTGGACACATCTGAATATTTGGGTTGAACTGTTCTGGAACGGTGTTATAAATACAACTTAACCACTGATTTCTAGTCTTGTCCTCTTTTGGAAGACCAAACAAAGTATCGCAATGAAACCCACAGCGTCTTCACAACATGGCGGTGGCAGCAACAATAAAGTTATGACTTCTTTCTTTGCGTGAACATTTGGGCGGTGTTATGCAAATCTTCCCACACAGTGACGTAGACATGTGGGGGCGTGTTTAAACGAAGCGTTTTAGGAAGCTGTGGACGAGTCTTAACTTTTATAAAGAATATCTCTTTGGGTTTGAGACTTTAGTCTTTGCAACTTTAGGGATCTTATCTATTCACGAACAGCTTGTAACACTCCAAAGAGAAAGGAAAACTTGAAATAGCATCATATGACCCCTTTAAAAGCAGCTGTCTCTTTAAATCCTGATCTGACACACATCCGATCTTCTCCAAGTTCTTTAAAGTCATTTTTACCTCATTTAAGACTTTACCTCAATTAAGTTTACGCAACAAAATCATTTTTCATCTGGGTTTAAGCTGTGTGGTTTTTTAGTGAGCAATCAGCTTGATGAAAATAATCTTACTGAGCTTTGATGATTGATATTCTGAAAATCTGAAGTAGACTACAGAAAAGAACGGATAAAAATAGGTTATATATATAAAAATATATTGTTTCAATTGTTGCTGCCTTGAGATATTATTTTGGAATGCATGCACTGCTTAAAAACAGTAGCATTATAGGATTTATACTTAGTTTTAGTAAAAATAACATGAATTACATAATTATATATATGTAAGACAATAATTGTAACTAAAAAAAAAACACCACAGCGTATAAAGACAGTACTAGCTTTGTGACTATATTTACTAAAACAACAAGAATAAATTATAGAAACCGCAATTGCCAAAAAGGCAAAAAACACATTTTTTTTTTTACATATACAGTACTGTAAACATTTTCTTCTCTAGGACACTAAGAACAAAATCATTTTTGAGCACTGAAAAACACTGTAAAGTGAGGATGTTTTCAAAAAATAGTATTATTTATTAATTAACTTTTTTTCAAACTTTTAAGCACACACTTTTTCCAATGTGCACTTATGCACAGTTTTTAAGGAAGTTTTTATTTATTTTATTTTTCAAGTATCGAATAAGCATTGAATAAATCAAATTGTAGATCTTTTTCATGACAGTCTATTTCATTTTCTTTTCTTCTTTTTTTAGCTAATCTCAGACTGACTCGATGGTGAGATTATATCCTTCTTGACTATACTTTTTGTTGTTCATCCAAAAGTCTTGCTGGATAATTACAATATTTGCAAAAAGAATGTTGCAACCAAAGCAAAAGACAATAGAAATAGCCATTTTAACTATTGTTGTGAGGAATGCAATACGCCTAAACCCTCTGCACAGTACTGTATGTAAATGAGGAGCACAGAGGGCACCTGCTTTGCAGAATGATGCATCATTCGAGACGTTTCTGTGTGCCTGCTGAAGTATTGTCTTTCATGTGTTTGGAGACAAAGGTGTCGCTCTCAAACAGTGTAAGGACACTAACGATTGTCTTAAAAGACTGACTTACAGCAGAGCACTTGAGCCAGGCAATCATTTGTGTCATTTTAAACTCTGAAATATAATCCTGAGAGCTCAAGGGCTCATGATAAGCTTTTGGGTCTCTGTGAACGACCGATCACTGTTACGTGGTTCATGACCTGAAAGCATCTGTTGCGTTTTCAACAACAGATCAGATAGCAGAGCAGCATGCAGGCAGATCATGTTCTGGTGGGATGTTTTATTTTTATTTATTTATTTTTTTTCATTTTTTTTTTTTTTTATTTGACTTTGAAATTGAAGTGATGAAAGCAAGCAAACAGCAAAGTGAAGAGGGCAAACACAGAAGGTTTGACAAATACTGACTACTGCCACCTACTGCTATGGAGAGCATTTCCTCTCACGTTGGCACAGAAGATACTTGCTAGTTGGCCATTGGCTGTAGTCTTTGTGCTGTGTTCAAGTGCAACTTTTTGGTGGTCACTCTAGATATTAATCATGCATAGCTATTCTAATATGGGCAAAATAATAAGAAAAAATAATAAATGCAAATGATTCAACTTCTCTTATTA